TGAGCAAGAATTCTTCGCGTTAGTTTGAGCATTGCAACATTGGGAACCCTATATGCTCTCCAAAGAATTCGTGCTCTACAGTGATCACCAAGCATTGTGTTACATTCATTCTAAGAAGGGTAGCAATCAGATGCATGCTAGGTGGTTCCTATATCTTGAGTGTTTTACTTTTGTGATCAAGCACAAGGCTGGCAAGACCAACAAGGTAGCCGATGCTCTCAGCCGTAAGCCAAGCCTCCTCACTGCCCTTAAACCCGGTCTCCTTCACACTTTGGCAACTGAGATAATTAGTTTGGAGAGCTTACGGGATCAGTATGAAAGCGACGAGGACTTCGGTGAGATTTGGGAAAAGTGTACACAGGGACTCCGAGTGGTGGACTACCATGCTCACCAGGGGTTTTTATTCAAAGGGAGTCGGCTTTGCATCCCATGTTCTTCTCTCAGGGAACATCTGATGCGGGAATTGCACGCTGGTGGGCTAGCTGCTCATCCGAGCCATGATCGGATGATTGAACTCCTCGTGGAGAGATTCTTTTGGCCACGAATGCATCGGGATATTCATTCTTTTGTCGAGCGGTGTGGTACTTGCCAACGAGCTAAGGGTCAAGCTCAAAACACGGGGTTGTACATGCCACTGCCTATTCCGGAAAACATTTGGGAGGACCTAAGCATTGACTTTGTCCTAGGACTCCTAAAAACTCATCGGCACTTCGACTCCGTGATGGTAGTTGTTGATCGGTTTTCAAAGATGGCGCACTTTGTAGTTCCCAAAAAGACAACCGATGCAAATAATGTTACCCGTCTTTTCTTCAAAGAAATAGTCTGCCTACATGGGGTTCCGAGAACAATTACTTCTGATCGTGACATGAAGTTCATCAGCCATCTTTAGAGAGAGCTGTGGAAGCGATTTGATACGACCCTCCAATTTAGCAGCATCGCCCACCCTCAGACTGACGGCCAAACTGAAGTGGTAAACCAAACCTTAGGGAGTATGGTTCGTTGCTTGGCTGCAGGACAGCCTACGCAATGGGACATGGCGCTCGCTCAAGCCGAGTTTGCTTTCAACAGTGCGGTGAACCGGTCCACTGGCAAATCCCCTTTTGCTGTCGTCTACATGAAAGTCCCGAATCACACCGTAGACCTGTTTCATCTTCCCCATTTCAAGAGTGGGACCGCAGCCGAGTTGGCCGATCACGTGGTGCGCATACATCAAGAGGTTAAGGCAAACCTGGCCCGAGCCAACGCCAAGTACAAGGAGGCTGCGGATAAGCACCGTCGAGAACATTTGTTTTCTGAAGGGGATCTTGTCATGGTTCACCTTCGGAAGAACCGAATGCCTGTTGGCACTTACCACAAGCTGCAATACAAAAAGTTCGGGCCCTACAAAGTTCTCAAGCAAATCAACGACAACGCTTATGTCATTGACCTCCCATCGGACTTGCAGGTGTCCAACACGTTCAATGTAGCCGATCTGTTCGAATATTATCCCCCCGACGCGGTGGAGACCACTAATCAAGAGAATTCTGAGTCGAATTCTGTCAAATAGGGGGATAATGATGCAGGGCATACTCTGTTTACTCTATGTGGCTGAACTGTTTGATTTACCTATTGTCGTTTCCTCATGTGGCTTCAAGTTAATTGTCATTTGAGTCTATTTTGTGTTGTTTCTTTGCTAGCTAAAACGCAGCCTTATCTATCGTTTGATGTGTTATCTTTCAGCTATAAATAGCTGATTGTCAGACTCTTAAAAATTAATGAATTATTACTGAAATTTCCCACAGTTTGATTTTCTTCTTACTTGTCGTTATCCCTTGTTTTAGGGTTGGGTTCTTGTGGCCTTATCCATCTGGTTTAGCCAGAGAAGTCTCATAGCTGCGGCTGCACCAATTAGACTATTATATTTTCATAACTTATATGTATACTTGGTATAAAATAATTGCAATGATTCTTATTCTTGAGATCTGCCGGATCATTATATTCATATATTCGATTTTTTTTATTTTAAATAAACGCTTAATTGTGAGACGTGGCTTAATTTGACATTGACACCTAGACAACCACAAGTAAATGGCATTGAAGGGACACAAGGAGGTAAAAGGAGAGGATTAAATTAGTGAGACTATTCTTGATCGTTACGTGTCTTAATTGTAGTGCTTATGTTTATTTATGTTTCTAGTTCTTTTTTTTTTTTTGTTATCCATTATCTTTATTGAAAGATCTGTTTTACGTTAATTATTAGCTCGGTTAAAAACTTATATTTACGAGATTACGTCTTGATATATTGAATAATTTATTAAGTCTTAACAATTACAAATACGAATTAAACTTGTACAAATAAAGACTCACTCTTTGATTTTATCGCCGTCATGTAAAATCAACTTGATGACCTTATTCAGTAAGTACCACTCGTCTTCAATGTCTGTTAACTTAAAAAATCATCTCCCGAAGCTTCTCCTAAAATATGATTATTGTTTAAAATTCATTCAACACTCCATGTCTTTTCTTAAAAAATACAAATTTTTCTCCTGAATATCGTTAAACTTATACCCCGTTCATTTCACTGATTCAAATTTTTAATTCTAAGTTTATACAGTAAAACGCTCTTAAAAATGTCACATCTAACTTTTTTTGTTACAATAAAAAGCTCTCTAAAACTATCACATCTAAATTTAAATTAAAATCTCGAATAAAATAATATACGTGAAAACCTAAGATGCCACCTAATAAATGGTCTTGAGTCGCATTGTATAGAGCAGCCAATTGATCCATCCCACAATCGGATAAACATAGTTCAAGTGAAACTCAAACCGATATTTTCCTTTACTTTTTATTTTTCAATTAAAAATATTTTCTATCCGAATAACTCAACACGCATCCTTTGTTGAAACAAGCTTTGACATAAGCTTCAATTAATTTCAAATGCAAAAAAAAATCTTCAAGCAGATTCCCACGATTTTGTCAATCTCCAAAATTCAAATATAAAGCTAAATAAAAGTCTTCAACTTGTTCTCCCGTTATTGAAATAAAATGCTATTGCCAATAAAATAGCCAAATATAAAATCCTCCATCATTATCTTCAAAAACCAAATCAACAGACTTGAAATTCAAACACGGCCTATCCATCATTTGTCTTGCACGCCACGTACAGCACATCTTGAGCTTCATCTTTTTTATTTTTTTTAACCGTTGCCAATAAATTACCAAGAAAATAAAATACCCAGCATTTACAATGCTTTATGGCCAAACAGATCAAAAAAATCCAACATGACAACACAGCATTAAATACTATTCACTAATATAAACATATAGCGGTGATGTTTAGCACCAGCCTTAAAAGTATCCTTCTTTTCCATTAGCTGTCAACCGACAACTCCAATGCGAGTTTCTAACAAGATTTAGATGGGGTTTCATATGTTTTCCGCGATAAAATTTATAGGCCGTTTTATTTATAAATTTAAAATTATGATTTAAAATTATTTTTTATTTATGTGTATTTTTTTATAATAAATCACGAATTATTATTTGAATTCTCCAAACGCACTTTAGAATATGTTTGATAGGAAAGAAAAGTAGAAGGAATGAAGAAGGTTGATGAATTTTGGAAGGAAAAATGGAAATGTAGGTTATTTGATAAGAGAGAAAAGAGAAAAGAAGAAAAAATAGAGTGAAAAATAATACATGTGGGCCCTACTATTTTTTTTCTTTCCACAAGTGGGCAGAAAATGAGATGGAAAATGGGGACAACTCATTAAAGTGAGCAAAGTTACTAAACTATCCTTTTCTCCATCAAAATCCAAGCAAAAAATTTAAGGGTATAAAAGTAATTTACGAGTAAGATTTTTTCTTTCCTCTCAATTTAACTTCCAATACCAAACAAGTGAAGGTAAACTCATATTCTTTTCATCTTCTCATACCAAACAACATAAAAGAAAATTAATTTCCTTTTCATCATTACTATTTTTCATCACTTCCATATTTCTTTTCTATCATATTTTCTTTCCTTCCTACCAAACATAACATTAAAGACCTAATTGGATTTAACACATCACACTCACACTTTTCATTTCCGTGACAGCCTAGCTAGTCCCATGTAATTATAAATTGACGTGGAGTGGTGAACTCAGAATCAGTTCGGGCCATTCGTTGACAATAAAAAAAGGTTTGTCCCGCATTCCTATCGTAGAGATATCATAGAATCTCTCTTGCTAGTTTTGGCTTTTTGTTCACATACATATTACATTGGAGAGAATTCTGCGGTTGGCCACTAGGGTGTGAAAAAAAAGAAAAATCCCACTGATAAAATATAATTTTACATCATTAAATTGCATGAAACTTATATATTAAGATATATGCTAGTTAAGATAATACAGTAAAAATATGATGTCTTAAAACTGTATCTATATCAGATAATAATAGGGCACGTTATTTTACCCCACTAATTGATAGATTCAGACATTAAAAAATGTTGGTACAAGTTTTTTTATTGATGAGAATGCGATATATATATATATATGGAGTTACATGAGGAGTTTAAATTTAAATCTAATATCTGAATAACTTAAACTAAATAACTAATAACAAAAATAATTCTAACTTTAAAATAAAAATTAATTACTAGCCTAATCTCTAAATACTAGATATAAGCTGAATTAAACAACGAATATAACAATTTAAATCTGAATAAATCAATTATCATTGTCAATAGGGTAAGTTTTTTTAGACGTTTTATTAAATTTTAACAATTTTATTTGTAACTTGTTAGGTGGCCAATTAACAATAATTACGGTGCTCTTTTTCAGGTTAAAAAAAAAAAAAAAAAAAAAAAAAAAAAAAAAAACTGTCCCCCGAAAAAGTGGAAGTATATACTAGGGTGCTGAAATTTAATCAAATTGTTAAAAAAATTTGTCCTACCTATAAGGCAATGCAACGTGTCCATGGGGAGAAAAGGATTCATACCATAAAAGTTATCTCGGGATTCATACAATAAAAGTTCCTTTTATAACAATTATCTCGGGAACAACAGCTGAAGTATCCCGAGAGAGAGAGAGAGAGAGAGAGAGAGAGAGAGAGATATGGAGGGTAAAGAGAAGAAAAGTCATTCTCTTTTGAGAGGAGGAAGAAGACAAAGCAGTTACAGCCATGGCTACTCTTCAGCTCAAATCCAGTCCTTGGCTTCCATGTGCGAAGCTCTCATACCTCCTCTAATTCCAAACAAAAACCCACTTCACAAATCTCTTCAAACTTTCTATGAAGCTTCAGGGTCTCAGTCTCCTATCCCTGACGAGGTCAACTTTCATGCCAAACTTTTCTTTACAAAAATACCCAAATCTTTCTTCTTTCTTCTTCTTCTTTTTTAATTTTGTTTTTTTATGGGTTTTTGAAATTTGTTTAGCCTGTTGTGTAGACAGCAGAAATGGTGGTGAAAAAGGCTCTGCCACCGGCTGCTTCTCTTGTGAGTTGGGTACTGAAGATTCTTTCATTCAGATTGGGGACTTTGTTGCTTTGTGGGTTCATTTGCTTTGATTGGAAATGGCCTTTCCTTCACAAGTTCTCTGAAATGTCTTTGGAGAAGAGAGAGGCAGTTCTCAAGAAATGGTCCAAGCAAAGGCGTTTTGTGCCTCTCAGATTAGCTTTTGTGTTGATCAAACTCTTTTGCTTCTTCACATTCTTCTCAAGGGTAATGCAGTTACCTAATAAGTTCCCTCTTTTGTTAGTTCTTATCTTTTGTCTTCATTTCTTATTGATTATTGTATAGTTTTAGTCTGCTGCTCTCATCCTTGTCTGGTCGTGGGCGGTAGGAGAGAGAAAAGGGACAAAACAAACTGAAACATATAATTCATTGAAGATAATAAAAAAAAATGAGAGAAAATAATTTTTCAAACAAAATGCGTAGGATTTTTGACACGTACAATCATGATGAATCTATGATAATGTGTATTATTGTTCATTATTTTATTGTTTTATTTAGTGAACTTATAAAAAATTTGGTATTATGTGACTTGTCTTGCTGACTTCCCTGCTGAAGCATGCTTTGGGTTTTTTTTTTTCCTTGATATATATTTTTTGGAACATAATAGAGCATAATCCATCTTGGTTTCTCTTTTTCTTCATTAATAAGAGTTTTTAAGTTTTTAATGGTTTTATTTTTTTGTTTAAATGTTACAGGTTGATGAAAATTCACACAACCCAGCATGGGAAGCAATTGGGTATCACGTAGACACCAGGAAAAGGATGACCAAAACCGAAAAGGAGAGGCCTCTTGATAATGGAGTGATTGAAACCATGAAAGAAACTGACTCCTCCCTTGTCCAATCACTAATCCAAAAAGGCCTAGAAGTTACCGAAGATCCAAACGACAACAACTACAAGATCAAATGTGATGCTGTTGTCGTCGGTTCGGGCTGCGGTGGAGGAGTTGCAGCTGCAGTTCTAGCCAAGTCTGGCCAAAAGGTGATTGTCCTTGAGCAAGGGAACTACTTTGTTGCCCAAGATTATTCTTCGCTGGAGGGTCCTTCAATGGAGGAATTGTATAAATTTGGTGGGATTTCATCAACTATTGATGGGAAGATCATGTTGCTAGCTGGCTCAACTGTTGGAGGAGGTTCTGCTGTAAACTGGTCTGCGTCTATTAGGACACCAAGCAGTGTCCTCCATGAATGGTCAGTGGATCATAAGATTCCATTGTTTGGGAGTTCTGAATATCAATCTGCTATGGATGTTGTGTGTAAGAGACTTGGTGTTACGGACAAGTGTACCAAGGAAAACTTTCAGAATCAAATATTGCGGAAAGGGTGTCAGAATCTTGGTCTAGAAATTGTTTCGGTTCCGAGAAACTCGTCAGCTGATCATTACTGCAGCTTTTGTTGTTACGGCTGTCCGACAGGAGAAAAGAAAGGCACTGATACGACTTGGCTTGTTGATGCCGTGGCCTGCGGCGCGGTGATTTTAACAGGATGTAGAGCTGAGAAATTCGTACTTGAGAATGGCAAGGACGGGGGAGCTAGAAAGAAATGCCTGGGAGTAATCGCCAGATGTTCAAGCAAGAAAATCACCAAGAAGCTGAAAATTGAGGCGAAAGTGACGGTTTCAGCTTGTGGGGCTCTCTCAACTCCTCCTCTCATGATCTCCAGCGGACTCCAGAATCCAAACATTGGAAGGAACCTCCATCTTCACCCTGTCCTCCTGACATGGGGGTACTTCCCAGAAGATGGATCAGAATTCAAAGGCAAAATGTACGAGGGAGGAATCATTACCTCGCTTCACAAGGTGATTTCCGAGGGAAACAACACACGGGCAATCATAGAAACGCCTGTATTGGGACCTGCCACATTTGCTACCCTCTTTCCTTGGGTCTCGGGATCTGACATGAAGGATAGGATGGTGAAGTATGCAAGAACCTCACACCTATTTGCAATGGTGAGAGACCAAGGTTCAGGAGAGGTCAAGGAAGAAGGAATGGTCAAGTACCGATTGACACAGTTGGACAAAGAAAATCTTCAGTGTGGGCTCAGGCAAGCCTTGAGAATTCTGGTCGCGGCAGGAGCCGTTGAAGTAGGAACCTATAGGAGCGATGGACAAAGAATCAAGTGCAAAGGGCTTAAAGAGAAGGATTTCGAGGAGTTTTTGGACACTGTGACCGCAGTTGGAGGGCCGGGGACGAGAGGCGAGCACTGGACGATTTACTGTTCTGCACACCAGATGGGAAGCTGCCGAATGGGTGCCAATGAGGAAGAAGGAGCTGTTGATGAGAATGGAGAGAGTTGGGAGGCAGAAAGTTTGTTTGTATGTGATGGGAGTGTTCTCCCAACGGCTGCTGGGGTCAATCCTATGATTTCCATTGAATCCACAGCTTTCTGCATCTCCACCAGGATTGTTAAGTCCCTGAAAAGGCAATCTCATGTGGGTAATTAAAGCAAGCAATCTCTTGTGGGTAGTTAAAGCATGTTTTATGATCTTGATTATTTATGATCCATCCTAGTGTGAAAAGATAGCATTAATGTAAATCTTGGGGCTGAAAAGCTGCAAGAAAATGTCTCCCTCGAGTCCCCGTTCCGATTGCAAGAAATATTCTTCTAAGCAAAATTAAATAATTATGTACTTAAATAAATAAATAAATCTGTGATTATTTTCTTCACATTTAGATTAGGATCTCAATAGTATTAAGCTTTAACAAACTTGATAAATATGGGACAAAAAAAAAGTATCGACAAATGCCCAAAGGACGAGTTTTGTGTTAAGATGGCTATCCCATCATGATCCTTGCTGAAACCAAAAAATGAAATGCTATAAAAAACTCAACAACTGGACACATACAGAAACGACAAAAGCCTGAACGCAAAAATCCCTCTTGTAAAATTTGAGAAGGAAACATTATTGAGAATCATTTGGCAATTCCTGTTATGGTTTGGGTCAAAATATTTTTCTGATGCAAGTATTCGACTTGCCCAAACTACACGCTGCGCATCTCCACATTAAAGCACAAAACTGCGTACTGGTTTCTCCACAGAAAGAATTATGGTGCAATGAAATTATAAAAGGAAATGGGGATCTGCTTAATTTAATTATATGCTGCTTTAACGGCCTTTTCGGCAGCATCGTCCAGGTCTTCTGCTGTGATTAATGTCATACCGCTTTCCTGCATGGCCATTTGTAATAAAGATTAGTGTTCTGAATAATGGACCTGAAATTTTCAACATCTTTAAGCAATTGTTTTCATGCATTAAATTAAGTATCAAATTACCTTCAGAATTCTCTTCCCCTGATCGACATTAGTGCCTTCGAGACGAACAACCACCGGTACTTTCAGGGAAACCTAGCCACAAGATCCACAAAGATTAATGCCTGCAGCTAACTAAGCAGTATGGCCAAATGCCAAAGAAAACTAACAATGTAGTGGAGTTTATTACAAGTAGGTGTAAACCAATGTCTACACTTGCAAATGAAAATATAATAAAGTTATTCGTAAAGGTGTCTTCTTATTTCAAGCGAAAATGAAGATTTGATGGAAATAACATAAGAAAGCAATGGCTCAAAAAATGGATAGATATTTTGGGGTTTGGGGTGGAGGTGGGAGGAAGACCTGAAAAAATAAATAAATAAATAAATAATATGGCTCACCTGTTTGGCAGCATTGACAATGCCACTCGCTATAATATCACACTTCATAATTCCACCAAATATATTCACCAGAATTGCTTTTACCTTCTCATCAGAAGTCAATATCTTAAATGCCTCAACCACCTGAGAGAATTGTCAACAAAAATTATGAATAAACTGTAAAATAGAAGAGCACACACTTGATCCAGCAAGAGCCCTTTTAGGCATAAAATATAAGTCGAAAGTCTTCTTCGCCTGAACTACTAATATATCAGAAAAGCCAAAAAAGGAAATACAGTGATAAACTCTACGCTTGATTACAAACAATAGGATCAAAGGACCAATGACATAATAAAATAAAGGTCCTGTATCTACCTGGCCTTCAGAAGCATTCCCCCCAACGTCTAGGAAGTTGGCAGGAGTTCCCCCGTGCAGTTTAATTATATCCATGGTAGCCATTGCCAATCCGGCACCATTCACCATGCAACCAATTTCCCCATCTAAACCAATGTAATTCAAATCCGCTTTGGCAGCAGCCACCTGTCACAAAAGAATAATGTCAGAAGAGCTATATTCCCTTGCCATAATTTGTCCCTTTCCAACAGTATAACCTCAAACCATATCCCTACACCTACTGGAAAAGATAGGGACTTGGCTACAGAGGATGATGGACTGTGACTATCATACGAGACAAAAAATTAAAAGAATATAAATATATCAAGCAGAGGATAGCAAAACAAGACCTCCCGCGGATCCTCCTGTGTTGGATCACGTAGAGCAAAAATTGCTTTCTGGCGGAACGCCGCGTTATCATCAAAATTCAACTTAGCATCAGCAGCTACCAATTGGTTATCAGAAGTCTCAGCTATTGGGTTTATCTGGCCAAAAAAATCCAGGTTCAGGTTAAGATATCCGGAGCAAAAAGAAATATCTAGGGGTTAAACAGTAACACTTTTTGGGACTCTGAAAGGTAATCTCACTTCTAACATTGTGCAGTCGCACTCACAGAACAGCTTATATAACTTCTTCACTTGTTCAATTGAATCATTTCTGTCAGCAACTTTGGGAGCCAACCCATCTACTACCTTTGCTGCATCTTCATCCGTAATTCCTTTGAAAACATCAATAGGTACCTATCAATAAGGTGGGGCAAGTGGACATTGTTAATTATAGCAAAGCAAAGTAAAAAGGAATTTTAAGGAGTTCTAGATGGAATAAAACCGGAAGAAAACAACCTTTATTATCATATCTGGGAATTTCTCAGCAAGGTCTTCAATGCTCGTACCTCCCTTTCTGCAGGCAATTATAAGCTGGAAAAAAAAAGGGACGCAAATAAGCATTTTATTTCTTTTAGCAAGAACATGTATCTCCAAGTGAATAAACTGTTTATACGAATAGGTGTTGATACGGGACCAATAATTCCAAAAGGGAAAAAAATGGTAATTTAGTTGCGAGAACATACCGGACCAGCAGTTTTTCGATCCAAAGTAATAGCAAAGTACATCTCATTAACAAGTGACAACTTTTCACATAGATAAACCTGTAAAAGAAAAGGAAACAAACCAGGAATACTCAAGTAAGCTCAGAACCAATAATTGGTGTAAACATAAATGAATACGAAGAAGCCTTTTTTATTTATTAAGTAAACTGATGATTACACACGTAGAGCATAATCCATCATTAAGTTTATTAAACCAATTAAGTAACTAACCCATGACTGTCTAGTGGTTATGGTAATTCATTCAACTAAACGGTTTTACCTTTCGATACAAATAAATCCAAAAACCAGTATAATCAAGAATAAGTAATTAAACCAACCTTGCTTACAACTTTTCCGTGGGGACCTGTCTGTTTGGTTACAAGTACCTGCCCAAGCATCTTTCCTGCAATAGGAGCGTTTAGATAAAGGATTAGTAAACCCAAACAAATTAATAAAGCGGAGCTAGTACAGTAACTATTTTCTGAAAGATAACCTGGAAATAATAATAATAATAATAAGAACAACAACATCAATAATAACAAGAGATAAGCCTATCTTAATTGGAAAGAAAATTACAAAAGATACAATACAAGCAACTAAACGTCATAAAAATTTCAGTGAAAAGAAGACAGTCCCCAATACCAGCAATATCTGCAGCCTCTTCAGCCTTGACAATGTGAACTCCACCCTTCAGACCGCTCGTAAATGTTCCTAAGCCTCTTCCACCAGCCAAGATTTGGCTCTTAACCACCAACTGCACCAAATTGCAAGTTAACAACTTAACATTATTCCAATTCTTCCACTTAATTTATTTGCTAGAAGTGCAGGAAGACAAAACAAAAACCTTAAAATGCAGGGAGAAAATAAAGCCTTAAGTGAGCCTAACACAGTCAAATAGAAAAATTGGCTCAAAATTCCATTTGTTTTAGGGTTGTTGTCATCAAGAAATAATAAAGGCACCGTAAGAGCTTAATTTACAGAAAGATTACCTCTTTTTCGTTCGGAAATACATGCCGAATAGTCTCTTTCACTTCATCAATAGTAGAAGCCGCAGCGCCTCTGGGGACATTGATCCCAGATTTGCTCATCAACTCAGCTCCCTGATTTCAGTAGAATCAAAGCCATTAATCATGAAAATTTATTGATTTTAACAGGAAAAATGGACACATACTTCACACAAAGTTACGGGGTTTTAACTTTTTTTTCTTTCTTTTTTTGCTCAAATTATGCGGTTGACTCGCACAAAGATCAACGCCTATCTCATTAGAATTTCGTAAAAGTTTCCTCCCAAAGAAGAAGAAAAATAAAATAAAAAATAAAAAACGAAACTTCACATCCGTAGGCTGAATTTTATGCAGATTTTAACTTCACATCCGTAGGCTGAATTTTATGCAGATTTTAGAGTTGCAATCCAGAATTGAACAAAATTTTGGACTAGTAGCAGGAACCTGGAGTGTATTCAACAAAATTATAGACTTGCAATCTAGAACAAAGCATCAAGTTTCAATTTTTCGTCTACGTCTACCTATAGGTTGTGTTAAAAAATTCATAGATACACACACACACAAATATATACGATTGAATGTGAGTATACGCAAACGTGGGAGAAAATGGTGGAATCTAGACCTGATATTCATGGATGTTAAGACGGCGGAGCTGTTGCTGCTGCCATTTTCCAGCGACGGAGAGGGAGCGAGAGACGAGCTTGTTTAGCAGTCCTCTCGCCATTCTGAAACCCTAAACCAAACAATAACCAGAAAAAGGGGTAGAGAGAGAAAGAGAGGAGAGAGAGAGTGCGTTTGCTTTTGCCGGAAGCAGAGACGATCGGGATCAAAGAGAAGAATCAAAATGGATCCCTAGCGTTTTGCTCTCTTTCTTCCCTTATTATTATTTACACTTTGGACCCCTATTTTTCCGTAATTTTTCATTGCCAGTCCGATGTTTATATTTTTTTGCTTGGGAGTCCGATGTTTACATTCTTTGACTTGTTTTACTTTTCTTTTTCTGTTTTTTTTTTCTTAGAGGCATGTTTGGTAACGCATTTAAAATAATTTTGTTTATAATACAAAAATAAAAATAGATTGTTTTAAAAATTATTTTGGAACTGATTTTTGAAATTACGTTTGGTTAATTTTTAAGAGATTGTTTTGAGTATAATAAAAAAGTAAAATCATATTTAGTTATAATTATTAATTAATATATTATAATATTATTGATAAGTACTAAAAAATGAAAACATAAAAGAGAAAATAATTTTTAATTATTTTTTAATTAATTCACAAAAATCATTCTCATTTTTTTGTTTTTGTTTTTGTTTTCAAAATATTTGTTAAATAAACATGGTTTTTATATTTGTGCCTCAAAAAACATGCAAAAACGTTTTAAAAAACAAACAAAAATCAATTCTAAAGGCAGCCCTTGTTTTTCATTTTCATCCCTAAGCAAATAGCCATATCTCAAAAAACGACAATGATCATAAAGAAAAGTAGAAAACCAATAAACTATTAACCAAAAAAAAAAAAAAGACAAAACCAACCAGTTAAACATTAACCAAAAAAACGACAAAACATGTTTTTTTTTTTTTTTAAAAAGAATACGACAAAACATGTTAAACGGCATAAAATAGAAAAATAACATCGTCGTAAACGAAAACCACAATAACCTCAAAATGCGAAATTTACATAAAACTTCAATGACCTGTGAGGAACATCAGTACATCACCAGTAAAGCGACGTGGTTAGGGAAAAACGATATGAAATAACAAATATATTTATATTCCAGGAGAGAGACATATTAAAAACGACATGAACCTCTATAAAAGATCAGAACAATAGACAAACAGAAAACTAGAAAACCGACATTATTTTTCTAGTTTTCTGTTTGTCTATTGTTCTTTTGGTACTTTGGTACGCAATGGCAAATTACCAAAAGAAAACACGGAAAAAAAGGAGGAAAGAAATCTACATTATTTTTTAGGACGACAATAATAATAATAACCAACAATTAGAAACGATAATTACCTAGAAAACGACATCAATATGTAAAACAAGAAAATACAAAAACAGATGAAATAACAAACAGCAGAACACGGAACGACAAAACGCGAGAAACGAAACGGAGAAATCACCGAGAAAGGACATCATTACTGAAAACTGACATCATTTTTCAAAACGGTGATGACAGGGTACGAACTAACAAAATTACAAACAACATAATTACGATTATATGAATAGAGAACGACATCATTTTTGAAAACGGCAACAAAAAGCAAAGAATGCTATTATTAAAACGAAAGAGACACCAGGAAACGACACCAAACGTGACAACCGACAATGAGTGAACATTTTCTCATGCATTTGAGTCAAATAATCGGGGATCCTGATGGTAGTGTCATGGGATAAACTGTTCCCCGGGACCCATCCAACAATACACATTACGGAATTATTTATTGAAATCCCAATGTAGAATTGTTTAAATTATAACAGAAAATGAGATTAAAGAAAAAGCAATAACATGCAGCTTTACATCGTGCGTTGTCCTCTTCGTTTTTCTCTCTCTTTTTTTTTTATACTTTTTTTTTTCCCCCAAGTTTTTCTCACTTTTTTGCTTCATCTTTTATTCTCTCTTTCTTTCACTCCCTTGAGTTATCCCCATATTTCCAGATATTTTCCCACAAATAATCTTTTGGACGTGTCACACGATGAACGCGAAAGCCAATCTTGCCCAACATAAAAGATTTTCAATCTATAAAGCAGAAAAGAGAAAACTTGCCAGAAATTGCAGCGTTGGAATATTTGGCTACAATTATTAGAGCTAGTTCAATTTATACACGTTTGATTGGTACAGACAAATGCATTCTTGGATGAATCTTATAGAGGGCATTCGCAAATGCACAAACAACACCAACCTCAAGTCGGTTTGTTCTACAGAATCGTCAACCAAATTCATAGTTTTCTATCCATTTCTGCTTACACAGTTGGTCCTCCTGGCTGTTCCATGACGTTAGACTCCGGTAAGGCTCCTCGTCGGCAAATATTCCACTTTCAACTGCCAACAAAAATTCACGCGAACAAAATTTCACTTCTGACACATCCAAGACTTTAAGCGGCTCAGTTTGGGGAGAATCTCATTTAGGAGGGAGAACCCCTAAACCCCCTAACCATTTTCTTTTCCACAAATCCGGTTAATGCCCACCTTAGTCCATCAAAAGAAGCTTGGAAACAAAGCATACTTCTAACAAATAGTTGGAAAATCATCTTTCTGTTATTCATTTTGCTACATATAATCTCTTAAGTCTCAATGTATAAGAAATTTTTCTATAGCGACTGTAAAAAGCTAGCTATGAGAGAAAGATATAGTGGGAAAGTATACCTCAGAAGCTTGACGGTCAAGTTAAAAGTACTGATATGCTAACAATAAGGTCGAGATAAAGCCGAAACATCAATCCAGGATGGTCTCTTTGCATTGTAGTAGAAATGTGCAATCATATGAACTAATTCATCGGCTGTTCGAAATTCTGCCAAAAGAAAATGTCATTTAGTATTAAGGGAAGGAACGAACTTCAACAGGTCATTCATGGTAGAACTTGAACGTGAATGAGACACTCTCACCTTTTTCCCTGTAAAGTATCCTGTTTCCCCGTAAGAATAAAATCTGAGGTCCTTCTTTTACTTTAAGAGCATATGCCAAATCCCTCTCGATGTTGATGTCTATCTTGACTGACTGTTGTAATGAAAGTTTAAAGTTGTTAGCATCAGTTAATTAACATGAAAATACATTTGCTCAAAGTCAAAAGTTTCATTAGACTGGGGGCTCTCACTATTTGCTCGGAAACCAGCAAAAAATAATTACAGAAACGAAAATTTAAATCATAAATCATTCAAGTCTATGACTTATCCGCAAAATCATAAAAAAAAAAAAAAAAAACAACAACCAAAAAATTTTTGTTTACCCGAGGAGGCAATCGATCTTTGGCATCCCAATAAACCTTAACCGCCTTTTCTAGCTCCTTCAAAGCTTTCCAATTATCAGTTGCCCTGTAAACAGGACAAGAGAATGTGTGCTATTAGAAACTATGTATAGAGTCAGAATCAAAAATAAACTTCTCAACGCTTTTCCTTTGTGCATGGCCATAAGTAAAAGTTTGTCATGCTCATGCATGCACTTCCAACTCTCCTCAAAGCCACCATAGAAAGTTCCCAACAACTCGCAATCATAATTATTTATTTATCACTTCAAATTCTCAAAATCAAATTTAAAGCCATCAGCCATATTAAGGACTTCAACCGAATTTAATCAAGCAATAGCATTGTTGTGAAACTCAGACAAGACATCCAGCCATGGATAGAATAACACCGAAACCTCGTAAACAAGAAAGTTCACGCGATAGCGATAATTAGACTCCACAAAGTCAACACATTAAATTCAAACCAAATACTTAAAAAACAGCAATTGTTCCTTAAATTTTCAGAAAATACAGAATAATAAATATATTCTCTTACCTTTTATATCTTTCGAAAACAAGAACAACAAGCGGGCTCGGATGGAAAGCAAAGCTCTCCCACTCCAAACAGTTAATCTCCTTCACCCAGTTATCGTCAATCTCTCCTTCCCAATCAATCTCAACCCCGTCTTCTCCAACCACGTTCTTTATCGGATGCTTATCGAAATACTCCGACGCCCTAATTCCCCAACCCACATCGGCGTCCAACGGCCAATCCTGACTCTCCTCCTCAACCACCATTGTCTTCTTCTTCTTCGTCTCCCCAACCTCATCATCCTCTTCGTCATCGCTAGATTCCGATTCAGACTCCGATTCATTATCATCCTCAGCCCTGTCCTTCATCACATTTCCCAAATTCTCGACCACTTCATCGTTCTGCTCTCTGATCGACGCGAACGTCCGCTCGAGCGAGTCCCTCACGTAGTCTTCCACCGCGGCGGCTTCGCTCCTCCGACCGCGCCTCGGCTTTCTCGGAATTGTTGTCGGGAACTTTCTGCTCGGATCTTCGCCTTCGTTCTGGGAAGCTTCAGCTTTCGGGCGACGGTTTCTTGACCTGGGTTTGGCTTTGGAAGCGGAGTTGAGTTTAAGGTCGGGTTCTGAATCGGATTTTCTTGAAAGAACGACGAAAGGAATAGACTTTACGCCGCGAGGACGGTGTACGAGGCGGATGTTGGCTCTGGGAATGGGAGAAAGTTGAAGGAGAAGTGACATTTTTTCGGTTTTCTTCGCGCGGGAATCAGTTGGCAACACCAAGTGTATGACAAAATGCCTGGCCCGTTTCTGTGATGGCGTTCAGCTGATATCGTACGAATCAGTGTATATGGGAGAGATTCTACAAGAAAAAACGACATATTGAGCACAAAACGACGTATTCGGCAAAAAAAATAAAACGACATGATGTTCCTATATTTTCATAAGTTATTCGTTTGTGATATGTCGCTCCGTAATAAAAATTGCTGTCGGTCTATTTTTATAAGATTTTTGCTATTGTTTATTACAGCAAAAATGATTGGTGATATTCGGCAAAAAAAAATAAAACGACATGATGTTCCTATATTTTCATAAGTTATTCGTTTGTGATATGTCGCTTCGTAATAAAAATTGCTGTCGGTTTATTTTTATAAGATTTTTGCTATTGTTTATTACAGCAAAAATGATTGGTGCTCTTTATTCGAAGTTTGTCTCTTTTGTAAGCCACGTGTATCATCTAGTCTTTCATGGATAAAATTATTACACCAACTCAAATCCCAATTATTTTATATTAATTAATATAATATGTGAATTGTTATTTTTATATCAATAAATATTTAAAATATTATCACGTCAATTAATTAAATAAAAAAAATGACATCTCATGTCACAAAGCAAGTTGAAAAATTGAAAATTATTAGTATTTTTTTTTTGGCATAACGAAATTTTTTCCATTGAGTAATTATTATTGTTTGAATAAAGATAATATTTGATGCAACTTAAATAAATAGTACAATTGTAGCTCTTACGGAGATATTAGGACAAGTATAGCAAAGCAATGACGTTTCTGCAGATATTAATACCATAAAAAGTTCACTTGCTCTTGCACTTGCTCTTCTACTTGCACAATTTCGTGAAATTATTGTTAAAAATGCTCATGACGATCGCATGAGAGATAAAATCGAGCTCTACACGAAATAAATACTTGACTCTCGCAAAACGCCATTCGCCATTGATATGATAAAAGACGTATTATTGTCAATGTCGATCTTTGCGTGCCTAAATAGTAAACACTTTAGATCCGATTTATCAAAAACTATACATTTCACAATAAATCACAATATAAAAAACACGCCAAAACAGTAAATCTAAACAGATTACTATTACCAAATTGAGATATGAATGGCCAAACACGCTGTTATAAAATGAGTAACACTAAGCCTACAAAACATATTAAAAAAAAAAAATAACGAATTTGCCAAATGTTTTGTGTGGACCAAAGTATATATATTAAATAAAGATAGCAAACCTACAAAAGAAACAAAAAGGGAAGGAACAAATTCTATCACAAAGAGAGATTTTAGGATCTCCCTTTTCAATAGAAAAGAATGTTGAATTTTGGAACGAATATAAGAAAGCATGAAAAATAAAAGAAGAGGAAAGTCGTACTCCTTTCAAATTAAGATGGATATTTTGTTTTGCAGAAATAATAACTATCACAGTTATTGTTAGCAGTCAACGCGTGGAAATATTTAAATACCCTCACAACAAGGTTCATGTGATTTAAGTATTGAATTTCTAAAACGTAAATCAAGATAGACGTGTTTCTAAATTCACTATATCAAAAAGCAAACCTTCATCAATGGATTGATTATTACATTTATCTATTTTTTTAATCTTAATTTTTTGTCTACTATTATATGGGACAAAAAAAAAAAGCAACACCAGATTCTTAATTAAACCAAAACAAAAGAGAACATAAATTGGTAGGGAATCAAACGGTGTATTGGAAGTAAGTTAGATCAAGTAATCCATATATAATAAAAACAAAACTAAAGGAAGAATCAATCACAAAAACGTTTCCCAAGCATGCATGTCCCGTATTGGTTATCAAATATAAGGGGGATATTTCTTGCAATTCTCACGGGCAAAATATTTTCTCAATAATATAAAAAAATATATAAATAAATAAACAAAAGAGAGAGAGAAAATTCTTTACATCTTTCAATTTGGAGCAAAACGGGATCGCCAACGGGATCGGCACACGTGTTGCCGCAAATTCCCACTAACAATTACAACTGTAGAAAGCGGGCAAGTTGTGTAGGGTTGAAAACGCCAGCTAAGTGGGCCCCATCAGAGCCCAACAAATCAGCTACCGCCACGTATCTCTGGAGACTCTCAAAGCGCGGCTCGGCTCCATCTCTCCTTTCGGCTTCATCTTCGCGACGCTGCTTCGGCTCCTGAGCCGAGCCGGCCGACGACTCGGCTCGCGCCGCGTCAAACGGCTGGCCGAATAGTGTTCCCTTGTTAAGGAACTCGTGGGCCAAGTACCCAGCCAGGAGCTGATTGGAATAAGCCGCGGCTGGCTCATTATGCGGCTCGGCTTGAGGCTGAGCCGTCTTCAGCTTTTTTGTCGTTGACGGTGGGACTTGGACGGCGTCAACTCCGGTGTCTTCTTCCTCTTTGCGCTTGTTTGACGGCGTTAAAACCCGACGGGGCGGTAGACGCATCGTTTTGGTACTCATTTTGGCTTCTTCGGTTTTGGGTGCATGCCACGTCAGCTAACAGCACATTAAATCCACAATAAATCTAATCCAACGGAAGAAAAAAGATTCCTTTTCAAGCAAAAGCCAAAAGGGACGTTTGGTAAAATTCAGGGTAAAAATAAGTTTCCAAGATCTTGTAAAAATCTGATAAAAATAAAATAATAATTCAAAAAAAAAGAGAGAATAATATTTAAAATTCAAAAAAAAAAAAATTGGAGAGAAGTAAGAGGAAACGAGACTTTGAAATCTGGAGAGGTTCTCCAGAAATTTAACACAAGCTAGAGAGAGAGAGCGCTAGAGAGAGAGAGAGAGAGAGAGAGAGAGAGAACTAGAGAGAGAAACATAAAACGAAGGAAGTACGAAAGGAAGAATTGGCAAGCCGAGGGGGTTGCCTTATATTTATAGAACAGGGACTAGTTGATTGCCCGTGATTTCCAACAAAATCACAGGAATGC